ATTTGCTTTCTACTTTAGCCCTTGGTATCACCTCCTCATTTCCCCCCCTACCTCCCTGCCCCACTTCCCTCATGAACCCTCGATAATTTATAAATTGTTTTTATTTTGTCATGTCTTACACTGTCTGCCATCTCCCTTCACCCACTTTTCTGTTGTCCGTTCCCCAGGGAGGGGGTTATATGTAGATTCTTGTAATCAGTTCCCCCTTTCTACCCCACCTTCCCTCCACCCTCCCGGCATCGCCACTCTCACCATTGGTCCTGAAGGGATCATCTGCCCTGGATTCCCTGTGTTTCCAGTTCCTATCTGTACCAAGTGTATATCCTCTGGTCTAGCCATATTTGTAAGGTAGAATTGGGATCATGATAGTGGGAGGGAAGAAGCATTAAAGAACTAGAAGAAAGTTGTATGTTTCATCGTTGCTCCCCTGCACCCTGACTGGCTCGTCTCTTCCCCATGACCCTTCTGTAAGGGGATGTCCAGTTGCCTACAGATGGGCTTTGGGTCTCCACTCTGCACTCCCCCTCATGCACAATGATATCTAATTTTTTGTTCCTTGATGCCTGATACCTGATCCCTTCGACACCTCAGGATCATGCAGGCTGGTGTGCTTCCTCCATGTGGGCTTTGTTGCTTCTGAGCTAGATGGCTGCATGTTTACCTTCAGTTTTCTTCACCACATTTGTTTATTAAGCCTCAGATTTCTGCCTTTCAAGCCTTAAGTTTTCTTCAAAGGTAGAAAGCTGGGAAGCAACCTGGCCCTTGCCCTTCTCCTCCAGGGATACTGAGCTGCTGGTTGTGCGAGTCCCCCAGGCACTGTATTGGAGAGTGCCCCCACCCATTCTCTTTAGTTATAAACCAGAAAAACAACCCCAGACTCAATTTTGATTTATGGCAACCCTTATTTGACTGGGTAGGACTGCGCCTGTGGGTTTCCGAGACGGTAACTCTATAGGAATAAAAAGCCCCATCTTTCCCCTTCAAAGCAGTTGGTGGTTTCGAACTACTATCCTTCCGGTTAGCGGTTAGCAGCCCAATGTGTAAACCACCATGCCACAGGCCTCTATATATGAGCCAGCATTTTTAAAATGCTCAGCAGCACAGACTATCAAGACAGTTTTCTATAGGACATCAAGCAACTACGTATGTTTCTGCTTTCACTTAGGCTTTGAAAGGCTCTAAAGCCCAGAGGAGCTGGGTGAAGAGCCTGACCCCGAAGGTTGGCAGCAACACTCTGGTAGGGTTTTTCGGGGTCCATTTTAATTGTTACATTTTGGAATTAGAGCTGGCATGCATTTTCAGAATGCAGAAGACAAGACATTTTCTACAGGAGGTAGAGAAACCATTTTGCAAGTCAGTTGGGCTTCTGCGATGAACTAACTAAATGCTGTCGTATCTTAGGGTCAACTTTTATATTCAAGTAGGGATCTGACAAATGAAAATCCGGCACTGGGTTCACCGTGTTATAATACCGGCCCACAATGCACTGCTAGACTGTATGGCAGAGCATCGAGCCAGTTCACTTCGTGGGGGTTACTTTTCAGCTCTTAGGTATGATGATCATGCAACAAATTCTTGGCAAGAACTATTACATACCAGGCATAGTCCTATGTGCCCCAGGTGACAATCAGAGTGTGAACAGTAGATCCAAGAAATAATTCTGTAATAAAATTTTATTACAAAATAATGGATGAGGGAGGCAGAGCAAAATAGAAGAACCCAGCACAAGGCTGGATATATTGCCCAGCTGCCGGGGGACGAATAACAAAAATGTGGGTGAAGGGAGAATGGACAGTGTAAGTCATGAAATAACAACAATAATACGTAATTGATCAAGGATCCACAAAAGTGGGAGGGGATGGGGAAAAAAGGAGCTGACCAAGGGCTCAAGTTTTGGAAATGTTGATGGCAACATATGTACAATTATGCTTAATATCATTCAATAATGGATTGTTATACGATTTGTACGAGCCCCCCCCCAACAAAACGATTTTAAAAAAAATGGAACCACATTGAAGTATTTAATAGTATGGGGGAAATGTAAAGAAAAAAACATGCAGTTGGGATAACACTTTACAAATTCGACTACAATTTGTAACATGTCACTTCAGCATCCTTTCCAGCATCATAGAGAATGAAAATAAAAATAAGCAAAGGTAAAGCCAATAATAAATAAAGTTGTGAGAAAACCTAAACCAAGCCCATTGCCACTGAGTCGATTCCGACTCAGAGTGACCCTATAGGATAGAAAAAAACTGCCCTACAAGGGTTCCAAGAATTTACAGAAGCACAAAGATTGCCATATCGTCCTCCTGAGGAGTTAGTTAATGGGCTCCAACCTTTTGGCTAGCAGCCAAGCACTCAACAAACCGTGACAGGGGTAAACGATCATCAGATTCATTCGCCAAACAGATCAGACCTTAGATATGCATTCCTGAGTTAGGATTTGCCTGTTGGGGTTTGTATATGTGTATACCCATCCATGAACAAAGCACTTTCCCGTCACTGCACCAGGAAGGGGGCCAGTTTTTCTTTAAACGACGCATTAACTCTAGCTCACTGCCATTGCGCAGAGGCAGACTCGGGGCAACCCTATAGGACAGGGTAGATAGAACTGCCCCTGTGGGCTTCTGTGGCTGCTACTCTTTACTGGAGCGAAAAAGCCTAGTCTTTCTGCGGAGGAGCGGCTGGTGGTTTTGAACTGCTGCCCTTGTTCACAACTCAATTCTGTAACCCGCTACACCATATTGGGGAGGGAGTGGAGAGAAGAAGCTGATCCAACATTTGCCAGCAAATGCTAGGACTGGATTTTACTGCCTGCTACATAAGTGACTGCTCCTCAGTCACATCGTTTCAGCTTTCATTTTCAATGTGCTACATTATTAGTACAGATGTCTATTTTCTTGATGACCGTGAGCCCTAAAACCCACTGCCATTGAGCAGTGCAGACTCATAGCAACCCTATAGGACAGGGTAGAACGGACCCTGTGAGGTCCTCAGACTGTCACTCTTTCCCTGGAGTAGGAGAACATTCCTCTTTCTCCCGCAGAGCCTGCTGGTGGTTACAAACTGCTGACCTTTCTGATCCCAACCCAAGGCACAACCACTACACCACAGGGGCCAAATCAAATACTGGAGGGGGGGGTGGGGTTTAAGAAAACCCCAAAGGCATGCTCAAAAGGGTCAAAGATTGAGCTGTGCTAGCTAAGTCCAAATATCACATTGGTTTTATAAGGGAGTTGTTCATCTGGATCTTTGCCCAAACCAAAAAAAACAAACTCACTGCCATAGAGTTGATGCCGATTCACAGCAACCCTTTACAGAAGGCAGGGTAGAACCACCCCCGTGCTTTTCTAAGACTCCGACTCCTCTTTACAGGATAGAAAGCCCCATCTTCTGGTGGCTGGTGGTTTTGAACCATAGGCTTTGAGGTTAGCAGCCCAATGCACAACCACTACACCACCTGGGCTCCTGAGCATCTTTGCCCAGAGACACAAAAATGTGGAGGAGCAATCCGGGTGAGGGAAAGGAAGCCAGGGTTCCAAATGTGCTGCCTCGCTGCTCGGACAGCTAGCTAACCTGGGTCTGCAGGGTCTTCCATCCTAACCATGGAGGGCAAAGCCATGGGAAGGCTTAGAACAGGTGGACACCCACAGTCGACATTGTCCTTCAAACTAAACCCGGATACGGTATGTTCTTTCCAACCATCAGCCCGAGACTGGCCCAGGAGACAACGAAGCATTTTCAAATCTTAATAAAAATCGTTTACCATCGCGAACTGGAGAGCTAGATGACCCGCACTGGCCTTAGCATATGGCCCTTTCTTTCACAAGGCGCTTTTGTGTGTGTGTAATTCAGACTCAGTTCCTTTAAGAACTACCACCTGCCTGCTGCTCATGCTGCAATTTCCCCCCCCTCCACAAGGCGTATCTGCAGTGCAGATACCGCGCCAGGGGAGCCTGCCAGCCAGCTCCCCGCAGCAGGCAGACGTCGATACAATGGAAACTAAAGGCGGCCTGCAGCTTCCCTCGAGGCTTTCTCCGCCAAGGGAGGGGAGAGGGGGTTCAACCAGCTCTCGCTTTGTCTGGATGTCTCCCCTTCCCCCGCTTTTTGGCTGCAAACGCCCCCTTTTGTTCCGCTGCGATCACTAACAGCCCACAAAAGATACGAAATCGGAACGTACTGGACGGCCTCGCCCGGCTCCCTATTTCTTAACCTTCTAGAATATTAGCGACCGGTTGCATGCGCCCACCCCCACGCCGCGCCCCAGCGGAGCAGGCCGGGCGGCAGAGGCCGCCGCGCATCCATCTTGGCCCATCCGCAACTCCCTCCCCAAATCTTTTTCGGGGGGGGGGGGGGGGGGTGGTCTCAGCATGGCTTGGCCCCCCCTCTCGGAGCCCTTGAAAACTCGCGCCTGTCCCCCAAATGTTAAAAAGGCACAGAAAAGCAGCCTAGGAGCAGGTTCACTCCCTCCCCCTCCCCAGAAGCTACTAGGAAAAAAAAACATCGACGACTCCCATGCATGCTGGATTATGACACCTGTCTGCAATCTGCAATGCACCCCTGCCACCACCATGTCCCTGTAACGCGTCACCCCGTATTGCTCCGTCCCCCAGCCTACCTCGATCTTCTTCCCAGCCTGGGTCCCTCTAGCCCCCGACCCCCTGGGCTAAGCCCACCCCGCGCAGAGGATGGCGCTTCCGAATCCCCCAACTCGGTTCGGCTCCCGCCCTCGCAACCCACCCGCCACCAGCCGGGTCTTGGCGTTAACGCCCACTCCCTAGAAGCCCTCCCAGCCCCCAACCTGTTTCCCCGCACACCCCGTTATTTCCTCACCGTTTGCTCGACCTTACTGCCCTTCCCCCTCTGCACGTTTCCCAAACGCGCGTCCCCCGGGGCCGGAGCCCTCCCGCAGCCCCGGCTAATTTCCGGGTCCGCGCCCCCTGCGCCCCACGCCCCGAGAGCCCCCTCCCCGGCGGGGCGCCCCGGGCTCCCCTTACCCGCACAGGACGAGTCGCAGCTCTTCCCCTCTAGGGCGGGGCTGGCTCCTGGGCTCCCGCCGCCGCCCGGCGCGGAGGGCTCGGCCCCGGAGGACGACGACGAGACGGACGGAGACTGAGTGGCCGCCGACGGCTCCGCCATGGCTGCGCGAGCAAGGACGGGACAGAGGGTGAAGAGAGACGCGGGGCGGGAGCGAGGGAGGGGAAGTCGAATAATTGCGCAGGTGGGGCTCTGGAGAGGCTTCACTGCTGCTCCGGGGACGGACTCCGACTGACTGACTGACTGACTGACTCAGCCGAGCCGAGCGGGAGGGCTGGAGCGGGAGCGCGCAGGCGCACAAAGGGCCCTAGAGCGTGCGGAGGGGGCGGCTCGCGGCCGCGCGAGACGCCCAGCGGCCCAGGGCGCAGGCGCAGAAACTGTCCCTCGGCTCCCCCTGCGAGGAAGGCGGGGCCAAACCGCGGTTCGCGCCGGAGCGGCTGGTGCCGGGGGCTAGACGCAGGGGGCGTGTCCGTGCGCCAAGCCCCGCCCACGTCGGCCGCCGAAGCGGGCTGCGGGCTGCGGGCGCGTGCTGCGGGGTGGGGGGAGCCCTGCGAATTAATGATTCCTCGTCTCTATTTATGTCAATGCTTTAGGGCCGGCAATTGGTGTCTTTTTTAATAAGAGAAGTTTCTTTTTGCTTTCCTTGAGGGGGGAAATACCTCTTCCATGCATTCCAGAGCCCATATCTTTTGTTGGATGCATTTCCTCCCAAGGCAAGATGGAAATGTGAAAATCATGGTGTTGAGGAGGCCCGGCCTGCAGGGTGTTGCGTGACTTTCTCTGGAAGTGTCGTAATAGCTCCTCACCACGCCGCACACAAGGCAGGGCTGGCGTTTGGAAGGCTGGGGAGGTCCTGTGCAGAGTGGAACGTCATTACTCATTCTGTTCACATCGCAGTGCAGCCAACCAGCCTGCTTCTTATTCTTACCTCGTTACTGTCCCCACAGAGGGGTCCACCTTGAGCCTTAAGCCTGTGCTTTCCTCCGCATAGGCTCTCAGATAGAGAAGACGTATATTGAAGGGGAAAGGCTGGCTTGGTGAGGAAAGGAGACAATGGGAGGTAAGAACATCCTGGTGTGGTTATGGGGGTTGGTAAGCTATTAGACACCCAGAACTTGGCACAACCTACGCATCAGTGAGTTTCACTCATCACCTTAAAGGGGTCCTTAGCAATATATTTGAGACCAGACAGCTAGCATACACGGGCTTTTTTTGGGGTTATTTTTAAATGTTTCTTCTTTTCCCCTAGATCTGGGTAAAATGATTTGCAAGGTGCATCATCCTTTTAAAAGTGAGACCACTGGATCCTGGAAATCATAAAAACCTAGGCTGTTGCCGTTGTTATTGCTAAAGCAGCAATCAATGACCTGAAGGGCAATTGCAGGATCGGCAGATTCTGTAAAGATGCAAGCTCATGGAGGAGGATGAAGTCAGCACGGTCACAGCCACAGAGGAGGGGGGGCAGGAAAGCGATCAGGCCAGTGGAAATCTTCTAGAACACTCAGTGGACTCCACCTGCCCTTGACAGTTTTTTAAGGTCAGGTAAAACCCTGACAGGAGGATAAAACAAAATAAAACAAAAAAACGTGTGGCTGTTGCACAGCCCTAAAAAAGGCACAGAAGAATCTTTCCCAAAATAACTCTGCAGCAAGTCTCTTAGGCTGATCCTTAAGGCATCAGTTGATAATGCGGCAGCCAACTGCCCCTTAGCTGGCAAAGGGAAATACAAGCCGATCTGATAATCAAGCTGGTTGTGGAGCCGCAATGACAAATGAATAAACAACCTGTGTCATCAGGTGCTGGGAAATGGATGACGCTGGTTCTTACCAGTGATCACAATCTGGGAACCCAGGGGTTGCAAAGAGAAAACGCTGCCACATCATTCCAACTCGTAGCCACCCTGCAAAGAACAGAGGAGAACTGATCCTTAGGATTTCCGGTAGTGTAAGTCTTTGGGGGAATAGACAGCCTCATCTTTCTATATGAGTGGAGTGACTGCTGGTTTTGGACCCCTAACCTTGTGCTTAGCCTACCACATCACCAGGACTCCTGGGTTGGCAAGAAGGCTCATTTTCATGGTATTTGGAAGCAGAGAGGCGGGGGTGGGGGGCCGCGGAGGGGTTGCCATAGGTCAATTGGGACTCACAGCAGCCCCTACATAACAGAGTAGAACTGCCCCACGGGATTTCCAAGACTGTAAGTCTTTAGGGCAGCAGTCCTCAACCTGTGGGTCTCGACCCCTTTGGAGGTCGGTTCACAGGGGTCGCCCGATTCATCACAGTAGCAAAATGACAGTTAGGAAGTAGCAACGAAACTAATGTTCTGGTTGGGGGGTCACCACCACATGAGGAACTGTATGAAAGGGTCGAGGCATGAGGAAGGTTGAGAACCACTGCGTTAGGGGCTAACATATCCTACTGTGGAGAGCTGGTGGGTTCACAACAGGGACCTTCGGGTTGGCATCTGAGTGCTAAACCACCTGTCACTGGGCGAGGGCCCACAAGAAGCAGAGAACATAAACTAAAAATCAAGACTATGATGTGTTTACGGTAGCTTCTCCAGACCTTTCCAAAACCAAACTCGCTGCCATGGAGTCAAGTCAGTGCTGACTCAAATTGGCCTCCTGTGGGTTTCTGAGCCTGTACCTGTTTGCTGGAGTAGAAAGCCCAGCCTTCTTCCCGAGGAGCTGCTGGTGGTTTTGAACTGCAGACCATGAGGATCAAAGCCCAACTAGTAACCACTACACAATCAGGGTTCCAAAGAGGTGTGTTTTTTTGTTTTGTTCTACAATGGTGCCCTTGTGGGAGATCCAATTGCTGAAGCTGTCTCTACTTCCTGCTTTCTTGCTGCACCTGCCAACTTCCCTGAGACTGATTCCTGCTCCTCGGGAATTTGTGCATACAATGTGTCTCACTGATCTTAATCAGTCTCCTGCCGTGTGCATCACAGTATCCTGGGCACTTAGGAGGGATCTAAAACTATGCTGCTCTGTCTTCAATGAGCTTGCAAGCTGCTTGGGGGCTTGGAACATAACATAAAGCTAACTAATTTCCTCACTACCACCAAGTCAATTCTGACTCATCGTGAGTCTGTAGGGCAGGGTAGGATTGCTCCTGTGGGTTTCCAAGAGTGTAACTCTTTACTAAAGTAGAAAGCCTGCTCTTTCTCCCGCAGCACGTCTGGTGGTTTTGAACTGCTGACTGTGCAGTTAGCAGCCCAGCTCATAACCATTGTGCCATCAGAGCTCCCTACATAAGGTTAAATAGGACAAATGAAATAAAACTCAGAACAAGCCCCAGACAACACATGGTGCTATGGCTGTGTGGCGAGGGTGTGCATTACTAGCTACTGTTTGGTTTCCAGGAAACTTTAGGGGATATTTTTGGTTCAAGGTGTCAATGTGATCTCAGGGCAGTGGTTTCAGGGGTTGATCCGGCTTCTGTGGCTCCAGAAAGTTTAGAGTCTATGAGAATTTAAAATTGTTCTATGTCTCCCCGCACCCTCACCCCCCTCCTTTGATCAGGAGTCTTCTATATAACCAGATGGGATTTTTAAGATATTTCCTGGATCATAACCATTCCTTTGGTCCCTATGCTGCTCGTTAGGTGTTCCTCAGTCACTTTCAATCCACAGCGACCGAATGCTCTCACAATGAAATCGTGACTCGGGTATGACCAGGCGGCACTCTTAGAGAACTCGAAAGAGGAAAAATGTATTAGCCAGGGACCCAGAGGAGCTGAATGTTCCGTAAGATCTGGGCCCTGAATGTTGGGTGGGCGTAGCATTTATACTTTATCTGCAAGAGCAAGGTCACAAAAGGAGCAAGGCCGCAGAATCAGAATAGGCAGGGGTTTCTAGTACAGACAAGGTCTTTAGTTCAGGAGGAAGGGGGTCCTGGGATGGGTGCGTTCTAGGAATGAGGAAGTACGTGGGGTGAGCCAGTGCACTGGGTGTCTTTTCCAAAGGTTAAAATTCCCTATTAGGATTTCCCTTGCAATGCAACAGCGTAAAACTGTCCTATAGGGTTTCCTGCACTGTCCTCTTTATTGGACCAGACCACTAACTAGCTCTTTCTTTTATCCAAGTGCTAGGTGGATTCGAACTGCCAACCTTTGTGCCAAGTGCTTAACTGTTGTGCCACCAGGGATCCTTCTGGACCTTTTCCAAAAATTCCACATGCCATTGAGTTGATGCTGACTCTAGGACAGAATAGAACTGTTCCTTTGGGGTTTCCCAGGCTTTAAATCTTTTTTTTTCATCATTTTATTGGGAGCTCTTACAGATATCATAACATTCCATAGTTCAATCACATCAAGCAGTATTGTCCATTTGCTACCATGGTTTCAAAACATTTCTGAGGCTGTAAATCTTGATAGGAGTAGACAGTCTCATCTTTCTCTGAATGAGCAGCCAGTGGATTTGAACCACTGGTCTTGTGGTTTGCAGCTCAGTGCATGCACCCCATGTGCCACCAACGCCCCTTCTCTGATCCTTTAACGACTGGCATTACACAATGGATATCTCATCTCGGCTTATTGCTCATCTGAGTCCATTTGACGCATGAACAAATTAAGACACAGATGTTGAAATGTTGCCCGAGGATGTTAATATCCCAGCCTGCCCCTTCCTTGGGACAAAGACGGGGTTTTCTATTCCTATCATGAGTTACAGCATCAGAAATGCACAGGAAATGTAAGGCTTCTCAATTTGGTACCTCGGATTTGGGCTTTGCATTTACACCGAAGCCTGTTTTGTAATCCAAGTGGGTTTTTATGAAGTACAGAGCCAGTGTCAGGTTCTACAGTCTCAAGGGTTTTACAACTGGGCACAAGCAACCTCATGGAAAAGAGTACCCACACTTGTGGAACTGGTGTGTGTGTGTGTATGAATCCCAGGGACTGAGGGGCTGAGGGAGTTAGGTAGGGGCAGGAGTGTGTGGAGTGTGGGGCACAAGAGGGCAATAGAAGCTGTGGGCCCCGAGTAGGCCCAGAGTGGGTACATGTGCACCCAAATGGGGGAGGAAGACCCTCACCCTTCCCTGCCACTAGGAGCAGGGTTAGAGAGCCTGCTCCCACCTTTATTCTGGCCCACCCCCTGACTGGGGGAATGTGTGGTTGAAGGTATTGGTTGACCCCATTGGCTGGGTTGATCTCACCAGGGTGATGTCATGAGCCTGGACCTCATTTGGATTGCTCAGGTGTACTTCCCACCTGGC